CAATTCTTTTGAGTCATGCGGTGTTTCAGAGACGTGTGTCGGATAATAATCTTAGTTATACAAAGTTAACAGTTCGGTATACTATTTACATTATTCGGACTATTGTCATCATCTATTTATCAAAAATATAGACAGATATTGACGTTTCAGTCTCTGGTTTCATTGTCTTCCCCATCATCTGATTCAAATTTCATTCTTCCGTGACAGGTAAGTCTTCATTATGGGGGTCAGGGAGCGAATCTGATGAAATGTTTAAAAATTTCACTGTCTATTTCTTTTTATTTGACAATCCCTTAGCAATTGGAGACCCCATGTAATCAGTGGCATGACTGATTGGCTATCTCCAGATAATGGGCATTGCAAAAAGTATAGATTTTTCTTCCTGGTGAGCCATTGACACAGGTATTACAGCATGGGTGGTACCCACTTCACGTCTTGGTCCCCAAATTTCCTGTTAAACTTATGGGTATCTAGCCAACCCCCCCCCCCAACGAGGGTTGCATATGGCACAAGGCCGAGTTTAACGTGGGTTTTATCGAGCCCGTAGGCTCGGCCAAAAACTGCCCGTAGAACCCGTATAAACGGAATCGGGTTGGTCAACCTCCCCGAACGAGACTCTGCCCTTCGGCGGAGCCTCGTCCGGGTTCCTCTCTGCTCAGAGACAGAGAGTTCGACCGTCAAGCCGAGCTTCTCGGCTTGATTCGGTATCTAGCCACCCCCCACGAAAGTTGCATGTGACACAAGGCCGAGTTTAACGTGGGTTTTCTCGAGCCCGTAGGCTCGGCCAAAAACTGCCCGTAGAACCCGTATAAACGGAATCGGGTTGGTCAACCTCCCCGAACGAGACTCTGCCCTTCAGCGGAGCCTCGTCCGGGTTCCTCTCTGCTCAGCGGCAGAGAGTTCGACCGTCAAGCCGAGAAGCTCGGCTTGATTTAATTGATTTTCCAAGCAAAGCTTTGATGTGTCACAAGGCCGAAAGTAAGGATCGAACTCACTACTCATTCGTAATTGTTCTAGCGAGACAAGCTTGCTAACCATTACACCACCTCGAGGTGCCCAACGATTTTCTAAGCGTAGCTCAAATGTGGCACAAGGCCGAAAGTAGGGAGCACCCAGTGAGGATCGAACTCACTACTCATTCGTAATTGTTCTAGCGAGACAAGCTTGCTAATCATTACACCGCCTCGAGGTTCCCAAATGAAAGCAAAGTCTACGAAATCTCTTCCAAGCGTAGATTAGATGTGGCACAAGGCCGGAAGCATGGAGTATCCAGTGAGTATCGAACTCACTTTTAAGTAGTAACTGATCTAGCAAGACAAGCTTGCTAACCATTACACCACGCCGAGGTCCCCCTGGTAAGCTTATGGGGGAGAGGAAACAGAGCTGATGAAATGTTTAAAAATTTCACGATTTCTTTTTCTTTGACAGTCCCTTAGCAATTGGAGACCCAATGAAATCAGTGGCATGATTGGTTGGCTATCTCCAAATAATGTGCATTGCAAAAAGTATAGATTTTTCTTCTTAGTGAGTCATTGACTTAGATTTGTTGCACAGGTATTACAGCATGTATGGTGCCCCTTCATGTCTTGGTCTCTAAATTTACTGGTAAGCTTTTCTCAGAACAGGTGTCATATTTCGCTTTTGAGATGCAAAATTCACTTCGCCACACACATAGCAGAAGTTATCTCCTTTCTTCAGACAATCACGGGGCATTTTTCACGAGTCATTTAAATGTGTGAGTATCTCAATCGAAAGGAGAATAAGAAATTACTTTAAGAGAATAATTATACACAATAAGGTTATTATGAGAATAATAATTAATTTGGCAAAGACAACAATTTTGATAAAACATTCATATAACACTAGTATTGTATCTTAAAATCTACAGCCAATCAACAATTTTGAATATCATTTTTATTTCTAGTGCCCGCAAATTAGCTAAGATTGGCTATTATTGTTTTGGAAGCTTTCATGTTGTGCACTAATGTAACACATGATGTTCGCTTTGCTGTACTCTTGTAAAATAGCGTCTGACATGAAAGTTTTTACAAAGCAGTCGGAATGTCAATGAATTGTACCATGCGAGCAAAGTTCGACAAACGTCGGCAAATGTCAATATCCACCAACGTTTGTCGAAGGTTTATATAGATCAAATGGTGGATGTGAGTACAGTTAGATAGCGGAGTTTTGCATACGGCATGTTTGCTCTTTTTCATCGCTGGTCAAATGTAACCATTGGTGGAAAACCAATCGGAACATTTCCCAATGATATGTGCCATATCTAGCCTGAAAATCAAGTTTCAAGAGTTCAGAACTTGTTTAATTTTGTCCGATGCCAGAGTATTTGTCAATTAACGAGTGTTTGAAATTAATCAAAACATTTATTTATACTAGCAGTACCCATGGAAATTCCACGGTTTTACTGTTTTTATTGCTGTTTTTTTTTTATCATTCACTCCAAGCAAGGCAATAAAGCCACTCAGACACAAGGGGTTAATGAATGTTAGAGAATATGAGAAAAATATACCATTAAGGAGAGAAGACAATAAAAGAACAAGAATTAACAAGATTGACATAGCATTTAAATTTTTGAAAATCAAATCTGACTAGGAAGCAAGAAGCCGAAAGTGAGTTCCACAAGCAAGAAGTGCGATAGAAGGAACTGTTAGCATAGAACTTGCGGTTACATCTAGCCATTTCAACTGTAAAATGGTGCGACCTTGCCGCTAATCTAGTACTGCGCTTAAATTCATAAAGTCTAAGCACCATAGAGCAAAGTTTAGAACCATTACCATGAAGTTATTTATAGAAAGGGCAGAGGGAAGCTACATTACGGCAGTGGGAAGGTGAGTGAAGACGAGACGCCAGGTCAGGACCAATAACATTGCAGATTCTTCTTTGGATTTTGTTAAGGATCTCTAAATATATAGCAGAAGCACCATACTAAATATGGCAACAATATTCAAAGCAAAGATGAATGGTAGACTTATAAATATGTAAAATAGATTCTGGCTAGAAAATTATCAAGCTAATATTTTTTCACTTTTTTTTTATTGAAATTAATATTATTGAGTTCTCCTAACTCCATAGAATGTAAAAAAATATTAAATGAGCGATTTATAGCATAAGTGCGATTATATTCTTTCATTATTTACATTGTTCGGACTGTTGTCCTCATCTTTATTGACATATTCACGACGTTTCGGCCGTTGTACGCTCCTGCCTTCTTCAGGTGATTGGAATTTATTTCGTTCACTAGGGTAGATTGTTCAGATCAGTATTCATTTTGTTTTTTGTTGATTTTTTTTTTTTTTTTTTTTTGGTTTTTTGTTTCTAACGAACTTTTCCCGTCAGTGTATATTTCTAAGATGAGGAATTATAATTATTTTAATTGCTACAACTATTGTCTTCATTTTTATTGCCGCATTCACGACGTTTCTGTCGTTGTACGCACCGGCCTTCTTCAGGTCGTTAGAATTTCGAACTGAATCCTTTATTTCGTCCACCTAGGTAGATTGTTCAGTTCAGTATTCCTTTTGTATTTTTGTTGGTTTTTTTTGCTTTGTTTTTTTGTTCCTAACGAACTTTTCCCGTCTGTCTATATTCTGAAATGAAGTATTGTAATTAAATTGTTAGAACTATTGCCTTCATCTTTATTACCATATTTACCGCGTTTCTGCCATTGTACGCTCCGGCCTTCTTTAGTTGACTGGAATTTCAAATTGAACCCTTTATTTCGTCCACTGGGCGAGATTGTTCTAGTTCAATGTGACATGCCGCTTCTGGATGTCTCAGTTATCTGCCTTTAGTTCAAGGGCACATGCCCCAGTGGATAAAAGCGTTGGTTGAAACTAGTGACTTGACCCAAAAGAGTTGTGAGTTCAATCCCAAAATGCTTCAGTGATGAACAAAAACTTGGAAAAAACAGACCTTTTTCTCATTTTTTAGGTGTACTTTAACATCCATTATTTGATCTCAAATATTAAAGCAATTTAAATTAGCAGAATTTAAAAATGTATCTCAGGAAGATATATAAAATGTCGTCATTGTCGGAACTAGTTGCCGAGTACTGGGGGAGCTCTTCGACACTTCCTTTTGTGTGAAATGAGTCCTGTGTTGGGTCTGCAGAGATGTCCGTTGCTCATTCTCAAACGAAAAGAGTCATTTTGGGGGAGAATGTATTTTCATCATTTTTTTTTCTAACTCAATCTCAGAGGAAAAGTGTGAATTTTTTTTACGAGAATATAATTTAATCTCTTTTCTCGAGCTCATTCAAAGAAAAAAATTGCATTTTTTGGAGAATATATTTACTCCTTTTTTTTTTTCCTCGCTCATTCTCAGAAGAAAATAAGCATTTTTTTTATGGGGAAATATATTTTAATCTTTTTTATTCTATGATCATTCTCAGAGGAAAAGTGTGAATTTTTTTTTGAATATATTCTAATCTTATTTTTTTTCTATATCATTCTCAGAAGAAAAGAATAAATTTTGAGGAGGTGATGTGATTTTTTTCTAGCTTATTCTCAAAACTATATATAATTTAAATTTTTCTAGCTCATTTCCCGAAGAAATTACCTATTTTTGTTTTGTTTTATTTTTTTTTTTATTTGTTTTTTTTTTTTTTTTTTGAGGGTGAATATATTTTAATCATTTTTTCTAGCTCATTCTCAGAAGAAAAGAGAATGAAAGAGAATGAAGAAAATAAAATTTGTGAAAGTAAAACTAAAAAAATATATTCTAAATAAAAGAAAACTGACATATTTTTTACGGTTTGTCAACCTTTTGCAGGTTATTTTCTAGCCAGATTTTTTTTTTTCGACTATAATGATGTTGTGATACAAATTTTACTAATTTACTCATAACTGGGGGAGATGTGGAGTCATGCCTTTCTCAAGTGTTTTTGCGCGTAAGCAAATATAAGAAACCTGACTGGAACACAAACTCGCCTCTCCAATTTCCATTTGCAAGCCATTATCTATTACACCACCCTCACATCCAAGCTTACAGCACCTGGTATTCCCAAGTGGTCACCTATCTAGGAACTAGCCAGGTTCTACATTGCTTAACTTCCGTAGTTATACTAGAACCGGTGTTTCCACAAAGATAGAAAAAATATAAGATCATTTTTTTTCTTTCCTTTTCTTTTCTTTCTTTTTGTTTTCTTCTTTTTTTTCACTCTTTTTTTCTTTTCTTTTTACTTCATTTGTTTGTCTTCGATTTTTGTAGAAGGAGGATTTTTCTTTCATTATTCATTTATTTCCCCCCCCTCTCTCTCTCTCTCTCTCTCTCTCTCTTCCCCCTCTTACTCTCACTCTTTCCCCCCTCGCGCTCTCTTTCTCTTTTCCCTTCTCTCCTCTCTCTCTTTCTCTTTTCCCCTCTCTCTTTCGCTCTCTCTTTCTTTCTTTCTTTCTTCCCCCTCTCTCTCTCTCGCTTTCTCTCTCGCTTTCTCTCTCTCTTTCTGTCTTTCTCTCTCTTTCTGTCTTTCTCCCTCTTTCTCTCTTCCACCTCTCTCCTCTCTCTCTTTCTCTCTTTCCTCCTCTCTCTCTCTTTCTCTCTTCCCACTCTCCCTCTCTTTCTCTCTCTCTTTCTCTCTTTCCCCCTCTCTCCTCTCTCTCTTTCTCTCTTTCCCCCTCTCTCCTCTCTCTCTTTCTCTCTTTCCCTCTCTCTTTCCCCCCTCTCTCTCTCTTCCTCGCTCACTTTCTCTTCCCTCTCACCCATCTCTCTTTCTCTTTCTCTCTCTCTTCCCCCCCTCTCTTTCTCTCTCACTTTCTCTATTCCCCCCTCTCTCTCTGTCTCTATCTCTCTCTCTCTCTCATTCTGTTTTGGCCATTTTTTTTAACTTCTTTTCTCTTTCACTATTTTCTTTCTTTATTTTTCCTCAACCTTTTTCTTTCGTTTCCCCTTTTCTTTGTTCGTCTCTCTGCCCTTTCTCATATATTTTTTTTTTTACTTTTCTCTTCATTTTTCTTTTTTTTTCTTTTTTTAATCCTTCATCTTCTGCATCTTTTTTTTTTTTGTTAGTTTTTCTATTTCCTTTCTGTCCCTTTTTTTGTCACTATTTTTTTTTATTCATTTTTATTTTCTTTCTTATTTTCTTCTATATCTTTCTCCTTCCTTTCCTCTTTCAAAAGTCCGCCATTTAATCTCTTTTTTTCCATTATCTTTTCTCATTCTCTATTCCGTCAATTCTAAAAAAAAGATTACCCATTAAAAAAATAAAAATGGCCATCATTTCAAACAATCCTTTTAGTCTTTCTCTTCCTTGTTTTCAAATGTAATTTTCTTTAGTGTATTTCCTTACTTTCACGAATTATTTTGAATACCTTTTTTGTTGTTTTGTTTTCGAAGAGACGTTCAACTTTTTTCCCTTCTCCATTCGCAGACCTGACTAGTCATGAGGTCTATCTCTTTTGATCTTCCAAATAAGGCAGGAATGAAGCAGACGACACCTTTTGAACACAATTCTTTTAAAATGCATTTTTTTTCTCATTTGCTTTAACGCTTAAAATACTTATGTTCACTTGTCTTTTGTGGGGCATTGATTTATCAAGCAGGCGTTCTCGCCATATTGTCGCTTCCAATTTGGCGATTAAGGTAAAAAAAAAATTTACAATGCCTACTTATATAGATTTCGAAAATTTACTTCACCGAGCGCGTAGACAGGCATTTTCTCTCTCACACACACACACACACACACACACGCAAATATATAACTTGTGTGAGATAGATAGATAGATAGATAGATAGATAGATAGATAGATAGAATGAGACAGACTTAACTCGAATGAGATAGATAGAGAGAGAGAGAGAGAGAGAGAGAGATCTGTGTTGATGTAAGTATAAATAAACGTATCTATCTATCTATCTATCTATCTATCTATCTATCTATCTATCTATCTATCAATATCATTGTAGTTAAGTCTATCTTCACCGAGCACGTACACAGGCATTCACACACACACACACACACATATATATATATATATATATATATATATATATATATATATATATATTCATATATATTCATTTATGTTGTATGTATTCCCAAATTCATATACATTTTATAACAACACTAAAAAAATTAGACCTTTTGCTTCAACACTTAAAATGGCTATTTTTTGTAATGATCTTATAACATGTTTATTTGCTCTACTCTGTATTGAGCACTCTTTTAAGAATACTGTTTTTAGTTATTGGAATTTTATTCTGTATATACTATTCCTACATATATATATATATATATATATATATATATATATGCATACATATCTGTATATATAACTTGTGTGAGACAAATAGATTTAACTAGAATGAGATAGATAGATAGATAGATAGATAGATAGATAGATAGATAGATAGATAGATAGATAGATAGATATCAGTGTTCATGTAAGTATAAATAAACGTCGGTCGCCAGATGCGTTGTTTATTTTATTTCTAAAATCCAACATATTTAAATAAAAGTATGAAGTATTTGGTCATTTGAGGCGACGTAACTATTACTACACACACACACAAACACACACACACACGCAAACACACACACACACATACACACACACACACACACATATATATATATATATATATATAGACTTGAGTGAGATAGATAGCCACATACATAGATTTAAGGAAAATTTTGGAAGAAAATAGATAGATAGATAGATAGATAGATAGATAGATAGATACAAACCGACTGAGATAGATAGATATCTGTTCACGTAAGTATGAGTAAAGGTGTATTTTTATTTCTAAAATTCTCCATATTTAAATGAAAGAATGAGATATTTGGTAATTTGAAGCCACGCAAGTATTACCAATTCATATATATATATATATATATATATATATATATATATATATATAACGTGATAATATGGCGTCTATTTCAAACACGGCTTATCCGCTAAATATAGCTTTTGAAGCAATTTTTTATTTATGCACATTTGGTCAAAAACAACGTAAATTTTTTAAGGAAATTCCCTTTTATTTTGTTTATTTCAGGCCATTATGCTAGTGACCATTTTGAATTTTGGTTATAAATTGTCCTTTCTTAATTATTTTCCTTCAGTTTGGCCCAAATTGAGGGAAAATATTTTCCCCGTTCTCCCGTTTTTGTGCTAATTTGACATTCGGTTACTGAGAAAACTTTTAATTTTCGGCAATTTAGTTTTATACCGATGATATCAATTTCTGGAGATAAGCCTGTCAAAATGGATCTTAAGTTAAGTGTATTTTTACCTTAAGTTATTATTTTATTCGATGTGATACTATTGTATCTTATTGTAGAAATAAACCATGACCACTGTCTTAAAAATTATGTTATCTTGGTATGGCTGCAGAAACTTGTTCATACATATATGTATATATATATATATATATATATATATATATATAGAAAAATCGAAGATTACCTCATTCGGATAGCGATTTCTACCCACAAGATTTACTTGTAGGCCTTTTTAACACTGACAAGGTCTCCAAGTAAATAGCAATTCGAATGAGGTAATCTCAGATTTTAATTTTATGTAATATATGCCTGTTATAATAAATACATTAAGCTCTTTTTGTGCACCAGTTTTAATATTTTATATTATTAGGATTCACTTGGATTATATACCAACGGATTATTACCTATATATATATATATATATATATATATATATATATATATATATATATATATATATATATATATATATGTAGCAAATATATGCATATAGATCCGACAGTATGAAGAAAAATATACAGAAAAAACAAACAAAAATCTTAATATGCAATTATGCTGTATTAATGTTAATATAAAGTCAACGTCGGACGTTTCGGTCTATTTTAGACCATCTTCAGGACATTTTCATTTAAACATAATTAACATTAGAACATATAAAATCAACATGAAAAGACGATGGACATAAGAGCACAACTAATCTAAACAGATAACTGAAATTTTTATATAAGATCAGCGTTCCGTTTAAATATGATCACGTCGTCGTCACGTATTCGAAGATGATTTCAAAATATTAAATATTAAAAAAAGCTCGATTGAACTATTTTATATAAACATATATATATATATATATATATATATATATATATATATATATATATATATAAAGAGCAATGCGTTAATAGCAGTAGGAGCCAGTTTTAAAATAACCCTTTTCTCAAGAGAGCTCAAACGAATCACCTGGGACCATATATATTGTCATTCACAAACAGATTGTTTCGCTGCATCACAGCACTTCAGTGTGGCTAGATGTTCGATTGCTTCAAGATATATATATATATATATATATATATATATATATATATATATATACAACTTGAGGCTTCATGGTAATTATTACAAGAGAGACATTTTACAAAACAATACTTAAAATGCGTTGGTTGTCCACCTTAAAGAGACTGGCCACAATGTTGACATAAAAAATGCTATTCTGATCAAAGGAGAAAGCGAGTCACTACGACGTTAATGTCTAGAGAGTGCCTTGGTCGCAAGGCTCTTACAACATTTCACTATTCCTAGCTGATCTATTATCACAGTGTGGGATATACCTCTTAAAAATGATGGAAAGAAAAAGAAAATATACTCTAAGTGAATTTGGCTGGGTATAAAAATATATATATATCTAAAATTCCCAACATCCCTCGTTCGTACACATGTCTAGTCGCACGAACAAAACAAATTGAGTCTAATGAAGGATGAAACGCGTCACAAGTAAACTTTTTCCACTTCGTCATTTAGTTTCCCCAATACTGTTGTTGATATATAAATATATATATCATTCTCTCTTCTCTGTCTCTCTGTCACTCTCTTTCATCTGGCCAAAACTTATATATATATATATATGTATGTGTGTGTGTGTGTGTATATATATATATATATATTTATATATATATATATATATGGTTTTACCGTTCACTGAGTACTTTTTTTTAAAAAGTAAATGCTACTAACTGTGGATGTCTACTTCATCTGTTCTTTCTCATATATATATATATATATATATATATATATATATATATATATATATAAAGAAATATAGTCTTAAGGTGTGCTATATTTATGGAATAAAGTGCTCAATATCAGAGACAGAGCG